GGAGCTAAATTAAGGCAGTCAGAGAACAGGTTTATCAAAGTTTAAATGCACCAGATTACTTTCGTTACGGACTTTCAATTGCACACACATTCTTTATAATAGACGGGCAGGCTGCAGACAAACAGATAGACAGACAAACTTTATGTAAGACTCAGACTGGTATGGAGTATGGAGAGAGACACGTAGATTCTAGGCCTATAACAGATCTGACATGCATAGGTTACACAATGCACCCTATTATTTAGGAAGACAGGAAATAATTGGAAAATCTTTTACTCATTCTCTCTAAAAACCTATTCTCAATTCTTTCTTTGTTTAGAATACTAGAAATCAGTTCAGTTCATGAGTGAAAATTAAGCGACGAAGTGGCACAACTGTTTATATTTTTTTGTAATGATAAGTTTTCTTTTGTGCAATGTGCAGTGCTGCTCCGTACGGTTTTCTTTTTTAATAACCAAGGGTTTATCAAAATTTTAGAGGGACAAATAAAGTGAAAACAGAAAATTTCGTTGAGTAGGTAGTAGGTAGCAGAGCCTAACCTAAACAACAGCTACTGACGAACAGAAAAAGACTAGATCTAGATGTAGATGTAGATCTAGATTAGCCTACATCTAAGATCTATCTCAATCAGCAGCATCCCCACCATGTAAGTGCAATTTGAACGAACTCTTTCGTTTTCCGACACTTGCCTGTTTTCCTTAGAAAAGCAAGGCAAGGTTTTGGAATAAATCGTCAGTGTCAGCCAATTCAATTGGGGTTTCAATTTACCGCCACTCTAAACTTTCTTGTAGATCTAATCTAGAAATCTAGATTAGATTCTAGATATATAGAATCTAGATCTAGTCTAGGTCTAGATCTAGATTACTTAAAGTAGAAGTCAGATTGAATTTATAATATTAAATTGAAATAGATCTCTAGATCTAGATTCTAGATCTAGAATCTATATCTAGATCTAGATCTAGATCTAGATCTATATCTAGATTAGATCTAGATTCTATATCTAGATCTAGATCTATATCTCTAAATCTAGATCTAGATCAAGATCAAGATCTCTAGAATCTAGATCTAGATCTAGTTTAGGACGAGAGCAGGCCTAGATCTACATATAAGTTAAAACTTTGTTTTCTTCAAATTCTCTCCCAGTCTCGTACTCCTGCAGTTTCCAGAAAGCAGACACTGATCTTTTCTTATAAATCTACACTTATTATTATATAAGACATAGAGAGTACAATTTGTAGCCAGCAGAACTCATTGTGTTGAAAATGGTGGACATTAGGAGGTGTTCCGCAGGTCAGGGTTAGGTGTTGTTGGTCGGCCGCCCCTCAGCGTTACTCCTTGCTAAACAATATTATAATTAATGAGCCATTGCCAAAACGTGGGGGGAAACACACACATCTCACATTAGTCAAATTAGTGTGCATAAAATGTGATGCATTAGTATTTATTCCTCCAAAACGTATACACACGTCAAATATAGGATGTAGAACATGCATTAGCATGTAGCAGTTTCAGACCCCATGTCAGCTTTATATAGATTCTAGACCTGCATGTTTGCCGACAATCGTCTGAAATCCGACAGTCGCGACCCGACCCGCGAGCCGGCCGATTCTATCGCTAGGCCCACCTGTATCAGTCAATGTGCGTAGTCTGCCGTAGTTCGATGCCTGCCCTGGCTGGCTGCCAGCACCCCCTTTTTCTCCTGTCAGCTTTATCGGCACTTTCGTTTTCGTGCTGACCGCCGACGTCGGCGTTTCCGACATAATTGTCGGAACCTGAGTAGAAATGCGAATAGGAAAAAGGACGACGACTTAAATTTTCTACTTTCAGTTTCGTGCTCGAGCGGCCATCTTGAATTTGGTTTTTTTTGTTTTTTTTTACTAATTCATTCAATTGTTCAGATCGTGTGGATTCATCAAGTCCGACCCACTTGTTCTAATAGAATCTAGATTAGATCTAGATTCTAAATTTATATAGATCATTATAGACCTCAATGGAGGATACATATTCCAATTCTATTTTGTCAAACCCTATCATAGGTTATGCTGTAATATTAATGTTGGTAAAAAGCATTTCATTAGGTGCGTGAATTATTTATTTATTTAGAATCTAGACTCAGCTGAGTCCGTCTGTTCGGAATCGGATGCGGGTTTCTAGTTTCAAGGCCTTCCTATTCACTTGTTCTACAAGATTTATTTAGATTACTAGATCTAGATCTATATGGAGGATTCACATTCCAATTCTATTGTGTTTTTGTATGAAACCCTATTATAGCAATGTAGAATCTAGATCTAGATCTAGATATCTAGGCCATATTATGCTCCTTGTTTGTTTTGGAGTGTGGTTTTTCAAATCGAAGTGTATACAGACCCGGTAACCGGGAACAAAGTCACGAAGTATACAGACCCGGTAGGTGAACTCTTTTGTGATTACGGAGAGAGAGAGAGAGAGAGAGAGGTGCTAGCAAAATGTATATGACATGCCCCAGTTGGCAGGAGGGAAA